AGATTGGACAAAGCTCCCTTCTGCAAACTCACCGGACTGTGAGCTTCATGAGGGTGCAGACCATGTCTTCTCCCTGTGGTATCAACACTTCCTAGCACAACATCTGTTGCAGACTTTACTATTAAATGTTAGCTGGATTAATTAATGGATGTGTTAACTAGTCAATTAGAGAAGCACTTGTTTCTCTCCAGCTATGCAGTTGCTTACACTCATTTCCATCATTTCTCAAGAGTCTTATATATTCAAGGCTGATTAGACAGTAAAGAAAAGGACTTGTTTCAAAAGCTCTTGGAATTTGTACATCTAAATGGATGGCCTAAATTAAACATCGCCTGGGGTACAGAAGCTATACCCACATGTAGATAAAGATGCAAAAAGCTCAAAATATTTCTCAATACTCTATCAGAATGTGTTAGCTGCAAAGACAATCAATCATAATGCCTTCTCTGAGTATATCTACTTGCTCCATGTGGAACTCTCCCTCCCCGACTGTAAATTCAAGAATTGAAGCCATAATAATGATCACAGTAACTGCCAATGTGCATGGGCTGCCTCTGTGTGCCAGGCACTCTTCAAATGCTTCACATATTCAATCCTTGCAACATTTTGTGTTTTGGTATTAACATCATCCCCATCTTATAGATGAGGTAACTGAGAACAGAGAGATTCATTTTCCAAAGTCACCCAGCAGAAATCCCCTTTGGGGTAGAACATTGTTTACCAAAGGTAACCTGCTGGGACCCAGGGTCTCTTCCTTCTTTCCCCAATTTTATTTCTCACACACCAGCTTCATTATGTGGTGTTCCACACTTCTTTTCTATTATATGGTGTGTTCTGTTTCATTTTGTTTGAAAGACGTAACGGTATACAGCAAAAGGCAAGAACATTGTGGTATTGTTTTTCAAGGATGTTGAGTAGCTACACTGATCACTGAATTGTGGGCACAGAGAAGAATGAAAGCACCAAGAAAGGCAGATGAGACAGTGGAGACCTACTTAGCCCCCTTCACGATTTGGCAGGGGAGCAGCAGGATGAAGCAATCCAGAAACTTCCAAGAATCTAATAAAATTTTAGAACAGAATAATAAAAAAAAACCCTCTTGAAACCTTCAAATGGAAACTTCAAAAAAGGAAAAATAGAAATTTGACATTCAGTCCATCCAGACCAATCTTACTACGAAGACAAAAAGCCTGATATGTCAGGGGATGAATATTCAGATTTTTTTCCAAGACAACCCCATCCCTGGGCACATCTACTCCCAGCACTCTGTGAGTACTCCTCCTACTATTTTTGTACTCAGCAAGAAGCTTATTTCCAGCAGCTGAATTTATAAATTGTTTGACCAGCTAGATTTTTCCAAAAAGATCCTTGAGAGGATAAATAAATGCAGCAACCTCTGCATAGTGTCCTCACATATTATGGTGAAACTGGAAATTTTAAAGTAGGACTGGACTCCCGGGGGCTGAAGTCAGAGGGGCAAAGCATGCCTTTATTGCTCTGCTCTGTCACTT